TCCAACATAGCCCCTTCCCACCTTGTCCCCCTGCAGGTGGCGGCGGGAAGACCAAGGTCTCTGGCAGACCCAGCAGCCGAAAAGCCAAGTCCCCGGCCCCGGGCCTGGCGTCCGGGGACCGACCGCCCTCCGTCTCCTCCGTGCACTCGGAGGGAGACTGCAACCGCCGGACGCCGCTCACCACCCGCGTGTGGGAGGACCGGCCCTCGTCCGCAGGTGGGCAGCAGGGGGGCAGGGCCAGGCGCGGAGACGCCCGGCACCAGGGTGTGGATGCCAACTGGGGCTGAGCGCGTGAGCGCCTACTGTGTGCGGGACGCAGAGGCGGCGTCCCGGGTCTGGCCAGCTGGGTCCGACTCCAGGCGGTCTGGACGCCTCGTCAGGGGCGCAGGCAGAGGGAAGGGTGCACGTAGGGCTGCCAGGAGAGTGCGCGGAGGGCGCGGGAAGTGTCAGGAGGCCAGCATGCGGGGGCTGTGCACGGGGGCCAGGTCACAGAGGTCCCCAGGAAAACAGACCGAGGGGACAGGGCGGAGGCAGCGTGGAGTCTGCGGCTGCGGTCCAGACGAGAGGTGGCAGGGCCTCGAATGGGCGTGGGGATGGTGGAGAGAAGCAGTTCTGGGAAATTTTCTGAGACTTAGAAGGGGCTGCCAGGTTGGCGGTGGGGCAGGAAGGCCCAGGCCCCAGTTCCCAGTGTGGCGGGCAGGGGGCTGGCAGGGGCCGCGCCACTCACAGAGGCCTCCGGGCCTCTCCCATCTCGCCCGCAGGTTCCACACCATTCCCCTACAACCCCCTGATCATGCGGCTGCAGGCGGGCGTCATGGCCTCGCCGCCCCCACCGGGCCTCGCCGCGGGCAGCGGCGCCCTTGCCGGCCCCCACCACGCCTGGGACGAGGAGCCCAAGCCCCTGCTCTGCTCACAGTATGAGACGCTCTCCGACAGCGAGTGACTCAGAACGGGGTGGGGGGTGGCGCCAGGCCCCAGCGAGTGGCAGGAGCAGCCCGGGGAGGAGTGGGGCGGCCGCCAGCTCCCCCCGCCGAGGAAGGAGCCCCTGAGTCTGCCTGCGCATCCGTCCGTCCGTCCGTCCAGAGCCGGCATCCTTGCCTGTCTAAAGCCTTAACTAAGACTCCCGCCCCGGGCTGGCCCTGTGCAGTGACCTTACTCAGGGGATGTTTACCTGGTGCTGGGGACGGGAGGGGAGGGGGCCGGGGCCGGGGGCGCAGCAGGCGTGTGGCAGCCACACGTGGGTGGCCGGGGCGGCCAGGGACCCAAAGCAGGACGACACGCACCTCCATGCCACCGCCTCCCCCTTAATGCATTTGGAACCAAAGTCTAAACTGAGCTCGCAGCCCCCGCGCCCTCCCTCCGCCTCCTGTCCCGCTTAGCGCTCTGGACAGACGGACACAGGTCCTGTCCAGCCCCCAGCGCGCTTGCTCCAGTCCCCATGGGCTGCCCCAGCCACCGAGATTGCTGGAAGCCGAGTCGGGCCAGGTGGGCGGACTGCAGGGCCGGGTGCGGCCTGGGGCGAGTGGACGCTTCGAGGAACCGGCCTGTCGTTTTCGCACAGCGTGGCGCGGCGGCGGGAAGGAAAGGCAGATGTAAATGATGTATTGGTTTACAGGGTATATTTTTGATACCTTCAATGAATTAATTCAGATGTTTTACGCGAGGAAGGACTTACCCAGTGTTATTGCTGCTGTGCTCGGCCTCCGCTAGCGGTCGAGGCGTGTGCAGGCTGCCAGTTGGCGACCCCATCGTTCGCAGGACCAAGGGGCGGGGGCCGCCGGCTCGAGAGCCCCTCCGCGTCCTCCCTCCCTCCCTCCCTTGGGCAGAATGAATTTGACGCGTATTCTGTGGCCGCCATCTGCGCAAGGCTGTGGTGTTCTGTCATTTACACACGTCGTTCTAATTAAAAAGCGAATTATACTCGAGCTACAAAGGTTTCTTCTCTACCTGAGGCTGGGCGGCCAGGAGGGCCGGCGGCGGGGGTTTGGGGGATGACGGGAGTGTGGCTCTGCAGGGCTAGGCCGTGTCCCCCAACTCACCAAGGGCTTGTCCCCTTCGTCAGTGAACATTTAAACTCCAGGTGAGGATGTCACTGTGAGGGCACCGAATGGTCGCACCCACGGTGGGCGCAGATACTCACACCCGTGGTGTGCAGGAGGGCCACCACTTCCTGGCCGTGAGATGTTTTCGTGTCACCCTGCCTGCTGCGATCACACGGACCCTCTGCTCTGACGGCTGCTTTGGACAGAGGCGGGAGAGGGCGCCCGCCCGCCTTTTGCAGTCTTGGGGTTTGCGTCTCAGAAAAGAGGTGCTCTCGTGCCTGCTGCGTCCCTTCTGGGCAGAGCGGAGCCTTGGAAAGGCCACGGTTCTTTGCCAGGACCTCAGGCACCCTGCCCTGGCCCGCGGTGCGCGAGGCGTGAGCCGGGGACAGTCTGCACAGCAGGGCGTTCCTGCTCTTCTTCCCCCAGAGCTGTTTCGGAGTCGTGCTAAGCCGGGAGACCCCAGGGTTCTGGGATCCAGCCTCCCCCCGAGCCCCGTCCCTCGGCCTCCAGGCGCAGGCAGCCTGGGTGCCGGCCCCTCGGCCCGCCCGGGAACGACGCCAGAGCTCCCGAGGGGCTGGGAGCAGGGCCACTGCGTCTGGCCGGGGGGACCAGCCTTCCGGGCTCGGATGGGGCCTGACCAGCAGGGGCGGTTGGGGCAGGGGGTCCCTGCCCTAGTGCGGGTGTCTGATTTCGGCCTCTCCTTCCGCGCTGATGCCACGGGATTTGGAGGGGCGGCAGAGGCAACTGCACCCTTGGGACTCAGCCAGGCTCACTGGCACTCGTGCGGCACTCAGGGCCTGGCCTCTCGGCTGTGGCTGGGTTCCGCGTGTGGCCTTGGGCTGTTCTGGGCCTTGGTCTCTTTGCGGTGGGCCCCATGGGTGACAGGGCCAGGCCTGCTGCCCAGCTGTAGTTCTGAGGCCGGCGGGCAGGTGGCAGTGTGAGGCCGGCTCAGGGCCGTATCCTGGGCGGGGCCGCCTTCCACCAGGGCACAGACCCGCCCCCGCCGGGAATCCAGGGCAGGTCAGGTGTTGGCCATGCCGGCCGCCAGGTTACCCACTTTCTCAGCCGCGGTCAGACCAGGGTTATGTGGGGGAGGACCACAGGTCTCAGCCCCCGCGGTCATCTCTGCCAGCCCCGTCTCTGTGCATCAGAGCTGGCACACTTGGTGCCTCTGCGTGTCTTCTCTGACGGCCGGTGGCTCAGACCCCACACGGGAGCGTTTGTAGGGTGCAGGGAGAGCTCCCGGCCTCCTGCTGCCGTCAGAGGGTCCCCTTTGGCTCCCGGTCAGTCCTTAACCCCCAAAGAGGTCATCCCGCCCCATCTTACTTGGCTTTCTCATTGTTCTGTGTTTAAGATGGAGGCCTATGCTGTTCTCTGGTCACCCGTCTCCCTGGAAAACTCCTACACACACTTCAAAACCCAGCTGGGGTGTTACTTCCTCTAAGAACTTACTATCTTGCGCCGTCTTCTCTGTTCTCTGGGGATCTGTTAGCGCAGTGCGAGCTACACTTGTCTTAAGGTAGACGGGACCGCCCGGGGGTCAGACCCTGCTCTTGGCTCTGAACCTGGCAACTGTGTTGAGCTGAACTAGAAAGTGCTTTGTACAGGACGGTTGTTGGCAAATGTCACCATGTCTTAGGATGCTGGGGAGTTGGTTAAAATGCAGATTCCTGGGTCCACCTAGAGGGTCTGATTCTCGAGGCCCAGGGTGGGGCTCAGGAATCTGTGTTTCTGACAAGCAGCCAGGTGTGTCTGATGTGGTGGCGGAGCCGAGGCTGGGGCTGGCCCCTCGCCTGGAACCTTCCGTCTGACCAGGAGGCCTCCAGTAAGGGCTCAGAGGCCCTGTGGAAGGAGGCCTGGCGCACGAGCTGGAAGAGCTGCCACCCACGGGGCAGGAACGGACTTGTCCCCATGACAACAGGGTTGACTCAGGGCTAGCAGGGCTGGGATGACACAGATAAACTGGAGCAGTCAGGGTGGCTTCCTGGAGGTGGCAGGTCTTGAGGCAGCGATAGGCTGAGAGGAGCAAACCTGCGTGGACGCAGGCTGGGAGGTGAGGCCCAGCCAGGGACGCTCTGGCCCCGCGGTGGCCGGGCTGAGTCAGTGGGGGCCCAGGGCTCCCGAGGAGGCGAGCAGTTGCCCAGTCAGGTGATTGGCTGGTTTTCTGGAATCGGGGCGCTGTGGGCCTGCCAGGGTGCCGGATGGATCGTGAGGGGGAAGCAGGCTGGGAGCCCAGCGTGGGACCCAGACAGGGGTGGGGGGCGTGGGCAGCAGAGCCCCTTTGCCCGGGGAGGGGCGCCGGGCCGGGCCACATACGGGGTGAGGGGGCCGTGAGCGCTGGGCGTCAGCCCCACGCGAGGGCAGTGCCGTGGCGAGTAAGAGGGCAGAGTGCGGAGCCGGCTGCCGAGCCCGGCTAAGCCATGTGACCCTCCGGGCCTCAGTTTCCTCATCTGTAGAATGGGGTGACGACACTGCCGTGACGAGTGACGCGTACTAAATGCCATTTGCGTCTTTCACGCAGCCGCTGTTACCTCACCTGTGTGGAGGGAACAAAGGCGGGTTTTACAGAGCGGGAGGAGGAACGCAGGTGGCCCGGCCATGGTGACTCTTATTTGCGTATTTTGGGACACATCCATCCCTCAGCTGGCACCTGGTGGCAGGGTGCTCCGGCCGTTCTGTCCCTGAGAGGCTGTCCCTCGGTCATCGTTTACGGGTCCGGCAGAAAGCCGGGGGTCCAGCTGTGGGGACGAGCTGGAGTCGGGCCCCCATCTGCCTGCTTCCTCCTCGGTGGGTGAGACGAGTAAGACGCGCTCAGCGCGGCCAGAGTCAGCGCGCCGTGCACGTTGGCACCAGGGCTGCGGCTCCAGTTACGTCTGCTTCGGGAGGAAGAGACGGGACCCACGCCGAGCGCGGCGGACGTGGGCGGTGGGGCGCCAGTTTGCGGGGGGCACCGCCGCGTCGGCTCTCAGGCCTGGGAAGTAGAGACCCGAGGCCCACGTCGCAGGCGCCGGAAGAAGTGAGGTGGCATCTTCTGACGGAGCCCGTCCCAGGTGACGGTTGCCCCTGGGGGGGCATCACTGAGGTCTTGCCTGGCACGTGGGGATCTTGTGCAGCTGGTGGGCGTGGGCGGGGTGGAGGCGGAAAGACCTTCAGCAAGAGCGCCCGGGGGCCGGGGGCCGGGCAGCCGGTCTCTGTTTGGGGGGTGGAATCCCCCAGCGCTAGGACAGGGTCCGCACGAGACTGGCGCCTCTTTCTGCCTGTCCCCAGGTCCCCCGGGTTCCCGTAGGACAGGGGAGCTGCCTCAGAGGCAAACCAGGGTGCACCTGGGGCCTTTCAGGCCGGTCTCCAGCCACTGCCCCCTCCTCGTCCCTGGCGGGGCCCCTGCGGCGCGGGCAGGCTGGGCTCCGGCTCCGGCTCCGGCTCCACCGGGAAAGGCAAACGCCGTGTGCAGGGCAGAGCCAGCTGCTGCAGGCGCTCGGGGGCCGGGAAGCAGATGCCGAGATGGGGCTAGGCGGGTAAGAGGTGTTGGGGGTCTCCCCTGCGTAAGAGGGAGGGGAGAAGAGCAGGACCGGCAGGAGCGCCGCGGACACCGTGCACATCTGGCAGTCCCGGCCCGGGCTCGTGCGTGTCCGCCGGACTCCCTGGTGCCGCCGTTGCACGTGTCAGGAAGCCCAACCCGTCTTTCCTCGGCGGTGGTGAGAGAGCGAGGCCGTGACTGGAAGCCAGGCTTGTGGAGGGGAACTCGCGTGGACGGAGGAGGACACAAAGCGTGCCACCACCAGCGTGGGCCTGTGCCCGGAATCCCATCGCTGAAGCAGGGGCGGAGGGCTCAGCGCCCCGAAGTCGTGTTGCTGTCCTGCTCGACCACACTGAACAGCAGAGGCCTCAAGGTTCGCCCTTCCGAGAAGGTAAACCTGTCCTTGACGCCGCCTCTCCTGCGTTCGCCGCCCCAGCCCTGCTCGGGCTCGTTCCCCATCGAGGCAGGCAGCCCAGCGGTCAGGGGCATCAGGGATCTTGGGCTCCGAGCCTGGCTCTCCCTCCTGCTGGCTGTGTGATTTGGGGCAAGATACTTAACCTCTCTGTGCCTTTCTCCTCCGTAGGAGATGCAGTAGCACCCATCTCGGTGGGCAGGGATGGCATGAGTGAAGCCACACGGTCCCTGGCAGAGAGCAGTGCCCTGAGTTAGCCAGTACAGCTCCAGCACTGTGGCTAGGTTAACCCCGGCCAGGCTGGGGTCTGGACCTCACCAGGCCCTGCTCCCCTCCCCTCGGACGACCCGTCCCAACTCCAGAGCCCCAGGGCAAATTCCAGTCTGATTTTCCAACTCACTGGGGACATTGTCCCAGGCTCCAGTGTGTCCCTTCATGCACTCAGGCTCTGGAGCCCGAGGCCCTTCCAGTGGGGACAGGGAGGGAAGCCAGCCCTAAGGCGCATACGGCCCCCTGCTCTGCAGTGGCTGCCGGGCTGTGCTCCAGGGACTGGCGGGCATGGGTCGTTCAGCTCAAGGCACAGCACGCACCAAAAATGCAGGCGCTGAGCCCCTCCAAGGAGCCACGCCCCAGATCCACGTCCCTGGCCCGGCCCTCTGCATTTATTAACACTAGCTCTTGGGTGGGGCTGAGGCTTAAGTCCCCCCTGTCTGCTCCGAGCAGCGGGGAGGCAGGGTCTCCCAGGAAGTAATGCCAGCGGGAAGCACAGCAGGTGGCCAGAGTGTGACGAGCCTGGGAACACGTCCAGCCCTCAGCCCCTGTGGGATTGAGGGTCTCAGAGACCAAGTAGCAGTCCCTTCCGGTTTGCACATTTTATTAAGTTATTTGTTAATCAGAAAGCATCCCTGGAGAGAAAACGCACTGTGTAGATATACAAAAATAAATCAGCCATTCGGCCCCTTTGGGATGTGAGCTGAGTCCCCCGGAGGGAGCCAGGGCCTTCCCTACCCCTCGGGGGTGGCAGGAGCCGCTGCCCACTGCTGGGGGCACTCGGGTCTGAGAGGGAGGAGGGCTCAGAGGGGCATCGCCGGGCGCCCCAGCCCCCGCATGTCCTGGCGTGGCAGCTGGCTGGTTTTCCTCCCACACGTCGGGCAGGGGTGACCCTGCAGTGCGGGGGAGTGACACGTTGTCACTGTCTTGCACAGACGGCCTCCACGGCGTCCAAGCCAGCAGCTGACCTCGGACCCCTTCATGTCCAGAGTGGTCCGACACAGGTGGCAGCAACATTTCTGAGAGCTTCATGGCCTCTCCTGGGTTGGCGTTGACGTCCTGAAAGCAGCGTGTGGACAACGTCAGCTGGGGCCACCCTGGGGTGAGGCTCCAGATGCCAAGGACACTGGCACAGCTCCGGCTCAAGGTACTTCACCGGCCACGTCCCTCTGCCCCCAGCGCCACCAGCCCTGGCGTCCGCCTTGGCCTCTCGGCACAAGCTGCACACATTCGAAAGGCCCGTTCGGAAACGCTGCTCACCACGACCGGGGTGCCTGGAGGGCGCCTCTCCCCTCACCCACGGCCTGGACACGAGTGGCTGCAGCAGGCCTCGAGGTGTGAGCGCTGCTCCAACAGCCGCATCCTTGGGTCCTCCCCGCGGGAACCAGGCTCACACAGCTCACCCTCCGTCCACGCTGCGGCCTCCCCTCCCGCCCAGGGCCGGCCCCAGCCCCGTTAGGGCCCGGGGTCCTCGCACGGCTGCAGCTGCACGCTGGAGGCGAACCAGCGGCGGGGCCGGCCCAGGCTGCAGTGCAGGGTGGTCCGGAAGGTGCTCCGGGCGTGCTTGGGGAAGATGATGGTGGTGCTGCGGAAGCGCAGGGCGCGCGGGCGCGGCTCCAGGGTCAGCTGGCTGCGGTAGCTGCGCCACGTGCAGTTGGGCGCCGCCACGATCGTCTCGCTGTAGGCCGTGACGGTGGGCACGGGCACGTAGAAGACCTTGTCCCGGAAGTGCTTCTCGGAGGCGTACTTGACCTCAGAGTTGCAGCTGGGGAGAGAAGGGAGGAGGACAGAGGGTGAGCACAGGCCGGTCGCCCACCTGCACCGAGGACGCGCCCCTGCAAGGTCAAGAAGGTCGAAGACAGATGAGCTGCTCCAGCGTCAAGGGGACGAAAGAGACAGCTAGGTGCACCCTGTGACCCTGGCCAGATCCGGATCAGAGAGAAACATGTCATCGGGCCAAGGGCTGAGATCTGCTTACAGCGTGTGGAGGAGACGGTGCTGCTGTCCTGGGAGGGGGTGTCGCTGTTCTTAGGAAACGCACTGAAATATCTGGGGGCTCAGGGGCAGGATGGCGCCAGTCTCCTCTCAAACCGGGCAGAGTGTAAACAGCTGGCAAACCTGTCTCTGGGGCACACAGCGATGCTTGTACTCTTCTGGCAACTTTTTGGTAAGTCTGAGATTAAATCAAAAAGTCCCTTAGACGAGTGACCTAGTGGTATCGCCCAGTTCCACTTGCAGGGCCCCCAAACTGGGGGGTCCAGGAGGGGAGACGCACCTGCCTCAGTCCCCACAGACGACCCATCAACATCTGTGACGGGATCAGCGGTCCAGGAGCCGAGGCACCCTCGTCCACCAGTGCCGGGGCTCTGAGGCTCTGAGTTTTAAAAACTAAAAATGAAATGTTTTTGGAAAAAAATAAAAAATAAACCTGGGACCACCTGCAGAGCTGGTGGGAACAGCAGGTCTCACGTGTGTGGCTGTCGCACTCGACACAGAGTCATCCAGAAAGCCCCAGGGATGTCGGGGCCAGACCCCACCTGCGGGAGCCAAATCCACACACGGAGGAGGGAGGTTCCAGGTGGGGTCACCGAAGCTGTCCTACGCATGCAGGGCACCAACATGCTTACAGTGCGGTGACTTGTCGGTGGCATATGGGGCCTAAGTCACAAAGGACACAGCAACTCAGTGTTCCCAAAACACTGAGCGGAAGCCTGTTGGTTACAGACACCCAGCCACCCGGCAACAGGAGAAGGGAGAGGGGCACTTACATTTCTCACTTTCCAAACCACCTGGGAAATTAGACTTAAAAATCAGCCAGGCTGTCGGGGGGTGGATGCATCAGTCCCTGGGGTCAGAGTCTCTCCAATAAGATCAGTTTTAGCTCCGGGTAAGACACGGCCGCGCCCACTCACCGGATCTCATGCGAGGGCTCTGGGTCCACCTTGATGCTCTCCCCAAAGAACACTGGCAGCAGCCGGGCGCGCATCTCGGGTGCCGGGGGCGTTGGGAGGAGGGAAGGAGGCTGGGGGGAGAGCCACAGACACGGGGGTCAGGCAGCCCTTTGGCTACTACACTACGCTGCCACCTGCCCCCAAGATCCCAACAAGGGGACATGGAGATGGCCTCTCAGACACACCCCAGGCCACGCCAAGGCCCTGGGCTCCGTCTCGGGAAGCCCCCGGGGGCAGCACGCTGAGGGGCTGAAATCCCTTCCTGACACCGCCCAAGGCTGGGGCAGCCTGCACGGGGGTAGACACACCCTGCTCCACTCGTGCCTGTGATGTGCTGCCAGCGGTGCAGGCAGCCAGTCGGAATGGCACGCATCCTCGGGGGGGGCGCCGTGGGCCCCGAGTCTCACCTGCCCACCATCTCCCCCCTCTGGGAACAGCACCATCCCCAGGACCAGGACCAGATCAGACACAAGTGTGTAACTCGGGTTTTCTGCTCGAGCTCAGAGAAAGCCCCCTCCCACCAGTGGCAAAGAATGTGGGGGGTGGACACCCCATCTGGAAATGAAGCAACACCGAGGGGAGCAGGGGTCAAAGGTGGTGAAAGGTCAAGTCTTGCCAACATTATTCAAGTGCCTAGATCAAGTTGTGACTTAATTTGAGCCACCCTCCTGTCACTTGCACCCAGAAGATTCTTGGGAAGGCAGGAGAGGAGAATACTAGAGAGAAGATGCCATCCATGGCCCCTCAGAAAAAGCCCCTTCAGGTAGACACAAAGCACCTTCCCAAATCCATCCTCCAGCTCCATGCTGGGAAGTTCTTTCTCTGGTCTGTCTGAAAGTCCATCCCCAAATTTCTATTCCCGATAGAAACAAAGACCACCAGGGTCCCCTCCCCAGTTCCATGCACAGGGCGTGGCCTAAGGACGCCCACCTCCCCGCTCTGCCATTCCCACCCCAAACTGATCCTGAAAATATAGACCAGGGGCTGCCGGGGCCCCCTCCCACCCTTCCCTCCGAAGTGCTCTCCATCCAGGCCCTGCCCCCCAAACCCAGGACCACCCCCATCATTCGAGAGCCCTTCAGCAACCCCAAGCCCAGGGATGGCCCCGCAGAGACCTCACCCGGGACAGGGCCAGGCGGTTCTTCCTCTAAAGCCTTTTAAGGTGGCTCTCGCTGTCCTCTGGGGCCCCCACCCTGCAAGTCACCCCCTTCTCCCCGTTAGACACGGCCTGATGCCGGGTGCGAGCCGGGACTCGAGCTGGGGGTCCTCGCGCCAACCCGCTGTCAGCCAGGCCCAGCTCTCTGCCTCCCACACGCGTGGGGGACCACACGGCCGGCCCGCTGTGAGCGGGGGACACACAGCTTGTCTACCTGTGACACTCGTCACCTCTGAGCCGAGGATGCCACCACCCACGGCGGACCCTTCAGACGCCCCTCTTGCTCTGGGCCAACACTCGAGATGTGGCTCGTCCACCAGTCGCAGACCCTCGCTGCCCCCAAAGGGCAGAACACAGGATGTCACGGCCAGCCCACGATGAAAACACGCAGTGGCAGCCAGAAAGGGGCCCCTGCTGGTTCACGCCCTCGAGACTGGGGGGTGTTTGTCCCTAGGCGTCCCCTCGCCCGAGCAGCCCGGCTAGGGGAGCAGGTGTCCCCGCAAGGCCACCCCTCCGGCCCCCACTACAGCCACAGGTGCCTGTGCTGAGGGTCCCGCGCGCAGCTCCTGTACTGAGCACCGACTGTGTGCCGGCCTGGGCTCTGGGCTCTGATGGCAGAAGGTCCCAGCTCCAGCCCGAGCTTGCCGCCAGGCCCCCTCCCTCTGGAGTGTGCCCAGCTGTGGGGCGACAGAGCTGGAGACGGGGTCCGGCCACCAGGTGATCGAGGAGGGCTTCTAGAGACGCCAGCTGAAGGGCACAGGGGCTAACGGCCACGCAGGTCACGGGACCCCCACTTTAATGTGTCCTGGGACCCCGCCCCTCAGGCGCTGGGGCCACACAGCCCCAAACAGCACCCAGGACACCCACCTCGGCCTGGGTGCCTGCACCGTGCCCCGGGACCGTGTTCGAAGGCTAAGACAGGAGCCACCAGCCGCCTGGGCCATTCCATTTACAGCAATGAAAATCAGGCAAGATGGAAAATCCCACTCCCCTCGCACCCGCCACGTGCAGCCACGGCTCCGCCCTGGCAGGGAAAGTTCTGCCGCGTGCGCTGCCGTGAGGGGGACGCACCCGCAGGATGAGCTGCAGCCCCGGCAGGCGGGGAGGGGCCCCCGCACCTTCGGAGGGAGCGGGCCCTGCCGACGCCGGCCGCCCCCGCTGTGCCAGGATCAGTTTCTACTGTTTTAAACCGCCCAGGTTGTGGTGCTTTGCCATTGCAGCTCCAGGAAGACAACACAGAAAGGCCAAAAGCTACGCGTCACATCCAGAGAGAGCACCGGGCACCCCTCACACCAGCCTCACCCCGCCCGGGGCAGGTGGCAGCACCTCCCCTTCATAGACGCTGACCCTGGGGCCGGGGGTGGCTGAGGGACTGGCCCGTGGCTGGAACCGCTAGACGAGGCAGCCGGGCTCCCGCGCCCTCACCCGCACCCCCCACGGCCTCACTCCTGCCCCAGGCTGCGCCACCCCCCGCAAGGTCAAGGCACTTCCCACCTGTCTCTCACGTCCCTGCACGCGACCCAAGCTGCCTCTGTGCCGTGGCTCGTGCTGTTCCCCATCCCGTCCTTCCAGGACATCCTTCTAGCTCCTCCTCACACGGCTGGGTGAGACCCGCTCAGGCACCGGCTCCCTGTCTCCTTGGCATCCTCCGTGGGGACCCTGGAGCCCCACTGCTGCGACCCTGTGTGTGTCTGTCACCCCCAGACCAGGAGCTCCTTAAGGCTGGAGACATGGTCACCTCTGTAAGCCCAGACCCGGCGTCTCACGGACCCCGCACCCGCAAAGCAGCCCCCAACCCCGGGAGCCCTGAGGCTGGGCACACCTGTCTGCAAGTGTGGCAACAGCCTGTGGACAAGGTCACCAGCAGCCCATTCCCACCTGTCAGCGTCCTCAGAACAAGGGCTGAGGACCACAGAGAGAAAGGATACGAGGCTTGGAAGAAGTTCCCAAAAGCCCCCGGCAGCTGTCCTCAAGGCGTCCCCATGTCCCCCGGCATCCACACAGAGCACGTGGCCCCAGAAAGCAGCAGCTGCTCCTCCCTCCCCAGGTGTGGCAGGCTGGATGGCGACCCCAAAATGTCCATGTCCTGATCCCCGGGACTGTCCGTGGCAAAGGGGACTCGGCAGATGTGATTAAGGACTCTGCTGGGAGGTGACCCCAGATCACCAGGTGGCCCCGAGTATGCACAGGGCCCTTTTAGGAGGGAGGCAGGAGGTCAGAGTCCGAGAGAGACTGAGGCTGCCGCGCTGCGGCTTGGAAGAGCAGGAAGGGGCCGCAGGCCAAGGAACACAGACCCTCTAGAAGCTGGAGAAGGCAAGGAACAGACTCTCTGAGCTTCCAGAAGGAAGCAGCCCTGCCAACGCTTTCATTTTAGGACTTCTGACCTCCAGAACTGTAAGATGATAAATCCGTGTTGTTCTAAGCCACTGAGTTTGGAGATGTGTTCCGGCAGCTGCAAGAGACAAAAACCGTGGGGCCTGGGATAAAGGCCTCCCCTCTCTGGGCCACGGCCTCCTCGTCTCTGAGGGGGCGACAGCAGCACCCACCTCACAGGCTTCAGCGAGGCCGAGTGGGCCAGGGCGGGAGGCGCCAGCTCGCAGGCGGGGCTGTCTGCAGCCGGCGCGTGTCAGGAACCCGCCTTTCCATGAGGGTCCCGGCGGGGCGGGGGGTCCTCCCTGGACAGAGGTGTGATTCACATCCTCGAACCTTAGACAACACTCTCCTATCTTCCAGAAGCAAGCAGGCCTCATTTCAGGACACAAACTTAAAAAAAACAGCAGTGGTAAGAATGAGACACACACATCCTCCACGGCTCACGGCTAAGTCACCACCGAGCCCCCGGCCACAAGCTCCGCGACTCGGCGTTTACAGAAATGATGCGGGAGGAGCCGAGATGGCAGACGAGAAAAGCCGCCAGGCAGAGTGTCTGCAAAACAGACAGACTTTAGAAGAAAGAGGAAAAAAAATAAGCGCGCAGAGAAACATAGATCGGGTGAGGGTCGGAAGGAAGGGTGCCTGAGACTACAGGAGACTCCACGGGAAGATGTCGCGGAGGAGAACTGGAAGGAGAGAGGTCCCGAGAGGCTTGGAGACCAGCGACAAGGGTAGGTGGCGTGGTTAACCTCCCACTCCCTTGCATCTCGGACTGCGGGTGGCTCCTGAGTGGCTGGAGAGACCTGCCGACACCAGCCCAGAGGCGGCTGCCGCCAGTGAGCAGTGGCCTCTTGCGGACTCGGCACCGGGCTCCCAGCCCCCTCGGGGCACCTCCCCGGGCGCAGACCCGAGCCTAGCGGCAGATGCCATAGTGCTCCATTCTCTCCTGCCCCCTCCCTACCCGTGGGTGCCCGGAGAGACAATTTAGCCATCACACGGAGGCATCTCCAAGGAACGGGACCTTTCCTTTTGGGGCCCTACAGCAGACTGAGGGGCACTCAGACTGCGAGGTCCCTACCCGCCAGCCCTCCCAGGTGCTACTTGCCTGGGGACTCCAGGAGAGTGGGGCAAATCCCGAGGTGGAGTGAAATCGATCCAGCTTGGGCGCCCTGTACAGGATTCAAGACCAGCACCCCTCCCCCTGGCAGGGTCAGAGATTGATCTCCAGGGTCCAGGGGACAGGCCTGCAGACCAGACCCCATACACCCAGGTCAGGATCGCACTGCCCCGGGGCACAGAAGGGAGATCTGTGAAAGAGCCTACTGAGGAGTGTGCGCCTTCAGGGGCAGATCAGCGTGCCTGACCGGCAACCCTCCTCCCAGGAGAAGGCTGTGCACCCAGCTCAGGCTGCAATACTGGGTAGGGAACCTCCCGGCCCACATCACAGCCAGGGGAGATCCATAGGCCTGAGGCCCTGCTTGCTGGCAGAGGCCTGGGAGAGGCCACGGAGTGGGGGAGAGGCAAGGGGAACGAGACCTGCTC